CTCTCTCTCTCTCTCTCTCTCTCTCTCTCTCTCTCTCTCTCTCTCTCTCTCTCTCTCTCATTTCTGCCGTTTCCCCAAACCATCACCTTTCAAACCTACTCTAGAAGAATACAGTTGCAACAAAATATTTTATGTTGAAATACTGAGTTTTCATTTAAAACTACAAACGTCAGATCTATTCGGAGGTTAATTTTTAGGGGTTGGTTGTTCAAAATATCTGTTTAAGATAATAATGTTAGAGTTCTACAAATATTTATAAAGRCAAAAATAAAATGAAAGGACCTAAAATTAAAATCATAATGGGCTGAGAAGGGATGGCAATTTTGGTTAAACTTTCKAAACAACGTACACAATCTCATGCAATTGTGCAAGATCTTAACATGATTGTTAGACACTAAGTGTGCGCTGAGGAGGACTTTGCAAAATAAGCTGATGTTGTTAACGTTAATTAACTACGTTAGACTTCTTGATCTGAGTTGACTCCAAAACTAAACAGGGTTTTATGTGATATTTTGCTAACAGGCAAGCAGGATTGTTGACAACACTTAAAGGTACAAATAGTTCTTAAGTAAAAATTTTGGTTAATTTTTGGTTTTTTACTTGAGTAATTACTTCTACTGCTTACATTTTTACACAATTATCTGTACTTTATAAAGAAAATGTAAAGAGTGGAAAAGTAGAAAGTCAAAGCTCCTATTTCAGTCCAAATTTTTTATTTTCAAAAAAAAAAATTAAAAACCCTTTCAAACATGTGACATTTCTCGAATAGAGTGAGCTTAACTGTGGTAGGATGAGATGTATAAATATTTACCATTCTGACATCCTATTGGTTTGTATCAACCCACCTGCACACGACACACATCACATCACACTGCAGCTTGGTCAAGCAGACGTATTGGCAGAGATGCTGTATATGCAGCTGAAACAGAAAGTCTAGTGCATTAATATTTTAATGTAACATTGTAGTCAATAGAACACACACAATTTTTTTGGGGGGGCACCTCCCAATGAATGTAATTTTGGAAATTCTAACTCACTTTTACTCAATATTTTTCATACTTAAGTACATTTGATATCAGAAATTTACTTTTGATACTTAAGTACTGTGAATGCCAGATACTTTAAGATTTTGACTCAAGAAATATCCTYAGAGGAAACTTTAACTTTTGACAAAGTAATTTTATGGTAAAATACTTTTACTGAAGTATCACTTTGAGGCACTTTATTTAACACTAGTGGAAAAAAAAATCCACAATACTTGAGCTACACCAAATATTAGCTCAATATTAGCAAAATTATTCACTTTGGATTTGCTGGCTAATGTTGGTTAGCTACGTAAGCCTTCTTGAGCTGAGTTGACTTCATATGATATTTTGCTAACATGCAAGCAGGGTCGACGCCAACATTTAAGGTCAGCAGCTCTTGAGCCACACTGAGTTTGAGTTTAATGTCAGTGAAGTCGTGTCTGAGTTGTGTAGATGTCACTTGTGTTGTCGTCTTCTTTATGAATCACTCATTCACCCGCCTACTGTTGTTTTTGTTCCTGCTGGAGGTAAAGCCCCCGCTGCCACTAGCGGCTCACTGTTGCGCCTCTTTCCTCCCCTCCCTCCTCCCCTTCCTCCCTCCTCTCACAGCTGAGAGCCACGGCTCCCAGTGGTGAGCGAGCTCTCCAGAGTTCCAGCTCCGCCGCGCTGCTCTCATGGCCGACTCGCCTCTCAATCACTCCTGGCCGTCCTTCTCTAAGCTCTGGATGAAGAGATGGTCCTTCAAGAGAGGTAATCTGCCCTCAGGTTCAGGGGTCAAGGGGTCGAGGCRTTCTGATTGGTTTGTGAGGCAGGATGCTGCACCCACTGAGCACTCTCTGTGTTTGAGCCTCTGTTTGAGTCACATACAGTAACTGCTGTTTACCAGGCTGACCTAATTGTGGTGTGTGGCGGGGGGACGGTTGCAGTCTGTCATGTGAAACCTTATCTCAGAGTTAAGTGTTTGTTGGGACCTGTGTGTCTGCTGTAGAACGTGAGCGTGCAGAAACCTGCGAGGCTTCGAAACAGGAGCCTCCTTCCTGCCTGTTCTCCTCTGCGTGATGCTCTGAACCTTGTTTCGTGCGCAGCTCTGTGTGTGAGACGAGTTTTTCCGACCAAGGCAGGATCTGACAGTTGTTTTGACGTTGGCCTCGAGCTCAGCTCTTGACAGCCTCTGTGATCTGGTTTTATCTACGCTCGGCATCCGTCAGACACTTTTCACTGTCTGCTGCTTGGCCCCCGATGGTCGCCGCTGCCTTTTAAAGGTCCACCGCCTTGTTCCAGAAATGATCACGAACAAGTGGATGTGGGTTCTGCTGCAGAAGGTCATCGCGGCCCGTCTGAAACCAGAAGCTGTGAGAAACARTCAGGTTGTCACATGGAGCTCAGGTTCCTCTTGTGATCATCACGTCGCGGCTAAAACATGAGGCCTCGCTCATTTCAGATCTGCTGCATCCTCTTTTGTTGTCACCAGTAAAAACAATGCTGAACAGTTTATAATGAACAAGTTTTATTGTTTTCAAAAACAGTTTCAGTTGATTCAAAGCTATAGATGTGAGGTTTTATGTAAATGTTATGAATCATTAATATCTTACCTGTTGCAGATAACATTTTGTATCGTTTACCTGGCAGCCACTGAGTTTTTTAAGTCTATTTTTTTAAAAAAAATAAAAAAAACAATAAAAAGATTTTTGGCACTAACAAGTTAAAACACAATGAATTTAAAGTGCTGGTTAAACACTGCTATTAAAACTGCTTCAAATATAAATAGTTTTGCATTGAAAGCTACTGATGTGTTTTTAGGAAGCTCGAGAAATCAATTTATATTTTTATCCAACCTTTATTTATCTGGTAACGCTTTATTTTACGGTACCTTTATTACCATGTAATTACAAAGTAATAAAAAATGAAAAAATGTGTTAATTACTTCCTTATTACTATACAATTATGTGGTAATCACACTAAAAAAGAAAAAATACTATTAGTAAAACTAACTTTATTGGGTTACTATAATCAAATAACTATTCAATAGTAACTCAACACTATATTTATAACCAAAAGAATGCAACTAAATTTTGGGGTTAGTGGTTAATTGCAATAAAATATAACTTTAAAACTGTCCAAATTACCCAGTACTTATTTAGTTGTTACATAGTGAATTGTAATACAATACCAGGTAAGTGCTACATTACTGCAGACAATTAATTACATAGTAAAATTGTACCCTAATTACCATGTAATTACATGGTAATAAGGTAGTAATTACAATTTAATCACATTTTTATTACCTTGTAATTACATGGTAATAAGGTAGTAATTACAATTTAATCACTTACCTTGTAATTACATGGTAATAAGGTAGTAATTACAATTTAATCACTTACCTTGTAATTACATGGTAATAAGGGTACCGTAAAAGAAAGCATTACCATTTGTCCAGGTTAGTTAATTAGAGACTGTCCAGCAGGCAGCAACAGGAGACTGGATATAAATAATTACATATAATAAATACACTTTTGTAACAATTTGTAGAGATTTATGAAAATGCATCACAATATTTCCTGTACATTAAGGAAGTTTTAGTCTTTAATTGCAGCTTATTCCAGTTTTGGAACCAACAAAAAAGGAGAGAAAAAGATGGTAGGTGTTGAAGAAAAGTTGTTGGAACAAAAATGATGTTTAGAAATAAAAAAAGGCACGAAAAAGTTTTGCTGAGCAAACTTTCTGAAATTATTTAACTTTGGAGTGTTTTGTGTTCATGTGAACGTCAAATAAGTGCACGTGCTGACTGTGCTGAACCTTACAGATGATCGGATGAGTTTAAAAAAACTATAGAAGACTAAGTGGAGGCAGGTTGAACATTTATCAACTTCTTAACAAAACCACAGTCTGTCCACTTAGATTAAAAAAATACTGCTTAAATTAAGAGTTTRTTTCATTTGAACTGGGGTTTTGTGGTCGGGTTGTGAACAATCACCATCTTACCTGTTRYAGATGGCACTTTGACCAGCCTGAGTTTTGAGAAACTGAGTTGAATTTTGACAGAACTGATTAGAGAAAAAATGAATATAGACCAAAGTGGATTGTCGTCGTCTCACAACAACTCAACCAACTTTATTTCTRTAGCACATTTTAAAAACCACAGGGTTAATCAAAGTGCTGTACAGTAAGACAGAAATAAGTCAGGACAATAAAAAAGAAACTTACAACACATGGGTACACAATAGGTGTGCTTTAAGGTGCCGTACGAGACAAGATCAGAGTGTGTTAAAAAGCCAGAGGATAAAAGTGTGTTTTAAAAAGAGATTTAAAATCAGGAGGTCTGTCTGACACTCAGGGGTAATTTGTTCCACAACTCGGCTCTGTCGCCTCTGAGCTTCAGCCTTGTTATAGGGACGGTCAGCAGCAGCCAATCAGTTGATCTTAGGGATCAGGGTGGGTRGTAAGGCTGAGGCAGCTCACATAAATATGGTGGAGCAAAGCTTGTTCAACTCAAATCTGAAAAGTTTGTAATRAGTACGTTTAACACGTCCATCGAGACAGAATTGAACAATTTTGTGTTGATTCTTGTGATTTTGTTATGAAGTAAAATACAAAATGTTTATCTCAAGGGGTTTAAATATCCATCATAGGTTTTTATAAAAGCTAGTTATATTTGAACCAATTTTAATACTTTGTAAGAGTTTAATCTTTAAGTTAGATTTATTTGTCATAATATTTCAAGTGTTTCAAGCCAAATACATTTTACTGTTTATTTTTTATATAAAAGACATGTTAGATGTGGGCAGRCACTAAACAAAACAATAATTCACAGATGAATAAAACTAATGYAAAGCATGATATTAAGTGTAATGAATCAGCAGAACTTGAGCCTTTAAATGGTTCATTATTTGTCACTGCTTTCAGTAGCAGAGTGAGGCCATCCTTTTTATGTCGCCAGAACAATTGTGGAGACTGCGACGCACACACCTGAGCACACAAACACACACAAACACACACTGATACTTCATACTCACAAGAAATAAGAGTCCGACCATAAAAGGCCACATCGGCTCCACAGGAAAGCATCCAGCAGCTGCTGCACAGTTTACACTCAGCACAAGTGGGGTTTGGATTCTGCTCCCCCCACCCCCACCCCCACCCCACCCCCTCCAGTCAGGACCCTGCCACCCCTGCAGCCTCAGCCTGTGATTTAGTATTATAGAGAACTGGATCTACTGTTGGCCCGTCTGAATGTTTACATCTCAGCTTCTCTGGCTGTCGGGAAGATGAAAGTGGTTTGTGTAGGTTTATATCAAGGCTGAGTCTGACTGCAGGCCACGAGCTCAGGCCGCCTGCAGCGTCGAATTACACGGCTTTTCTCGCTTGACATCTGCTTTGTGGAATTTAACAAAAAAAAAAATCATTATTCATAAAGTTCCACTGAGATAAGATCAGCATTCCAACAAACAGACTCCAAAAGTTAATCAGCTGTAGAGGGACACCAACAATCACTTTCTGAAAGCTTTATTAAAATGTGCTCAAGAATAGATAAGATATTTTGCTAACAGACTGAGAAATGAACACACACAAGCTTTTTTTATTTATTAATAGACCTTTTGTTGTCAAAGAAAGAAAACTCTTTTTTTCTGTTGGATGTAGAGCTGATACATCGTCTCTACTTTATTAAATTATAGTAAATGTAAAAAAACCTAGATGATGCTGTTTTTATATTTRACTAAAGCAACAGTCTGCATGGTCTGTTAACTTTACATATATAAATACTTATTGTTTTACATTTATTTATTTATATACACATATACTTATACATGTACAGTACCTTTACGTAAAAAATATGCTTACACCTATAC